TCTAGGCATAACTTTATCGAACAGTATCATATCGTATTTTGTTTTTGTTTTTTTTTGTTAAAAAGTGAAATCTTATTTTCAGATTTGAGGTGGCCAAGCCTACCATGGATAATCCTTAGTATATAAAAAAAAAAAAAAAAAAAATTTAGAGAGAGAAAGAAAGTTATCATTCTTAAGGAAGAGAGAGAGAGAGGAAGGGAGCGAAAATTTGGCTCCGTGTTGCATGTGGAGAAGGGCAGGGGTGTACATGCCTGGCTATGTAGGCCCGCTTCCCCATGTTCCCATTCTCTCTCTAAACCTGATACCTCTTCCCCTTTCCCTTTCTTTTTCATAATATAATCATTTCAGCTGGTTGGCCCAAGTTGATGACAATACCTCACGATATCCTCACTTTTATTATTAATTTTATCATTCTGTACTTCTTTTTCTGTAGAACAAATAAACATGTTAATTTTTTCAAGGATGTAATTTATACATGCATAGGTTTTATGAAAAAAAAGAAAAGGAAAAGTAAAGCCTCGTCTCAAATTCTCGTCTAGGAAGAACTTTGGGCACATCATAAATCTTTATGATGGCTTTAAAATGAATTTCTAATACCAATTATTAAATTTAGAGCTAAAAAAAAATGCAGATCTTGTAGCTCTAAGAGTACTTATTTTTAGAGCGAAATAGAAGGTTTAGATAATGTTATACAATATTTTTAGGACAAAATAATTTACTTTTATAACTATAATGGGCAAGATCAAGATGATCGATTTAAAGATTTTTCCACAGCAACACCCTAATTTTTGGTGAATTTTGAGTTGACTCTTACTTATTGTCATTAGGCCAAAATATTTTCCAATATTTTAGTAGTTAATAAATAAACCTGTTAGTTCCTTTCAATTAATCTAATATTCTTCACACGTCCCCACCAGTTACTTATTTCTTTTTAATTTTTTCAAAGAGAGAGAATTAAGACATTCGTATGATTGATATGATGGTGTCAGTGTAAAGAGGGATATTTGAGTTTTGATTGGTCTCGGTTTTGGTTATTTATCTGAAATTATTTATTATTAATTTATATTTTATTTTCAGGGGAATTGTTTTTGGTCTCGAGACCAAGTTTCCACAAGGGTGTGGTCTTCTTTTGTCTCTCAACACAAAAAACACACTGCCCAATCCCATCTGAGGCCACCCACGCCATTGGATCCCCCTCTCCATATCCACTTTTTGTTGTGTTTTCACATTTCTTAATTCCTAAAAAGTAGGCCTTTTGTTCTTTCTCTTAGACACTTCCCACTTCCTGCAATTTCGGTTTCAAGGCCCCACTTTTCCTTGTGCCATCTTTTGGAAGACCTTCCTTTTTGGGTCTAAACTTCTTAATGTTTCACTCTTGGTCTGGGATCTTTTATCAAGACTGGCTTTAAGTTAAATTAATAATTGTTTTATGTCTGATAAATTTTTGACTGATTCAACTGATCAAAATTATTGATAAGCTCCACCAGTACAACAAAATAGGGCAATTTTTTTAAGAAAAATGTTTTGATAATAAGTAGAACCTCACCTCAAAACTCATTGAAAATTGCAGTTTTGTTGTCGAAAAACCTTCGAATCGATCATCTTCGCCTTGACCATCATGTTTGTGAAAAAAATTAGGATTTCAAGTCCTAAAAATAATGTATATTGTAATGCATTGTCTAAACCGTCCATTTCACCATAAAAGTAAGTGTTCAATGATCTGCAAGATTTGTATAGATTTTTTGAGTTTTAAATTTCATGGTCGGTGTTGGAAATTGATTTTGGAGTCATTGTAGATATTTTTCAATGCCTAAAGTTCTTTCTGGACTAAGATTGAGATGAAGCTTTACTTTTTTTATAAAATTTAGGCCGTATAGAAACTGCATCATTTTCTTAATATATTTCATGTTTTTAAATTATTTTTTCTATTTCTTATTTAAAATCTGATTCAACTAGTGTGACCAGATTCATATTGATTATGATCGTGACGCATTCTCTGTGACCAATGCAATTCTAATAACACTTGCGTTGCCTAACACACGTTTTTTATCCTTTATACGTTTTTGCTCATTAACACTCGAGCAAATTTACTTACCCAAAAGAAGCACTCGAGCAAATTTCTACTTCACACGTCTCTCTCACTCTCTCTGCACACACACATGTACAGGCACATGCACATGGAAGAGCACTACTTATTCGCGTATTTTGTGGCTTTTAGATCTTTATGTTTTTAAATTTTCATATGTTAGTGATCTTTAAGATCATATGGTATTCTTCACCTGCATACCCAAATACCAAGATCTCACCCATGATCATTCTTAACATTGGAGTATAAGAAATAAAATAAGATAAATGCATGACACAAACATACATGAGATTTACATTGTTCACCACAAAGAGGCAATGGCGACATCCTGAACAACGCTACCGATCAATCTCTGTCAACAGGTAGAAATCCACTTACTAAGGAAAGTTACAATTTTGATTTACAAGAAATATACCTCTTGAGACGAGCAACTATGTTGATCATTCTCTCTCTGATCACTGTTGGACCACTACCATAATAGCATTGAGAGCATCCTAGGACTTCTTTCTATCTAAAAAAAGCAGAAAGTGAACCAACAAAAGAAATTAAAGAACAACCAAGAGATATTCTCTACATAGAAATGGAAGGTGAAGAAACAATAAATCCCTATGAAAAACCCCCTTTTAGGCCGTCATCTCTATCTCTTGGAGACCATGTAAACCCATCTCTCTCTTAGAGATTCTATTTTCTCGAGTGGACTTTGAAAGGATGAGTGTTATATGTACCCTCTTATATAAAGATCGTCGTAGTTTCTTGTTTGCTCCCAAATAAAGTCTCTTTTTTCATTCAAAGATCATAATACCCTTAATGTTTTTTTGTGATTTTGGCTATCACCCAACCTAACTTGGTCCTATCACACCCCACATGAAACATAAAGGGCCGTCATCACAATCAGTGGTGCCCTACCATGAACGGTGAAGATCAAGATCTACTTCTTGGATGCTTAATAGATGACTAGTTCTTGCTTATTATTTCTTTTTTGAATGCTTATAGAACTGGTTCTTTAATAATCGTTTCCCTCTTTATCTTACTTCAAGAGATGATCCTTCCTTGTAGCAAAATGACCCTTCGGCCCAATTTTGATGAACACTAATCATGAGCGATAAATATTTCTCTTAAATTATAGTTATTAAGAATTTAGTAAGACGTTTAGTCCACCTATTCATGCGTAAGCCCCATTTTAGAACCTTAATTATTTGAAAAAGGGGTAAAAAACACCATAATTCATACTAAAGCGGCTAAAAGTACTAGATTATTTAAATGTGATCAATAATAGGATGGTAAACTATACTTGCATTCAATATATTGCGAGGTAGTCCGACCAGCCATCCACCATCTATACTTGTCAACAGATGGTTAAGACGAGCAATTTTTATACTCCAACAAACCTCCTCAAAACGTTGGGAAAAACCTCACCTACGCTAGGGTGGCAATGGATCCGACGGGTAGACCCAACCTCGAGCACGGGTATGCATTCAAATTTTGGACCCAAAAGGTCAGGTCCAGGTCTAAAACCTGGACCCGAATACCATCCAAGACCGGGTCCATGTGGACCTGACCCAAACCCAAAGAGTATGGATGTATGCAGGTATCGATAATTGTTGCCAATATGTTTTTTTTTTGGAATTTCTAGTTCTTATGTAAAATAATAAGGAATGTGGGTATTCATAAATGGTGTACAATACTGTAAATGTTGGCAATAATATGGGTATATGATGGTAAAAAAAAGACCTCATAATCATAGCCCACGTGTCTCAGTGGGTTGCAAGGGACTCAACCAAACTCGAGACTTGATGAGTAGACCCAACCTCAGGTCCGGGTATGGGTCCATATTTTAGACCTGAAAGGTCGGGTTTGGGTCTAAAACCTTAAACCGAATACTATTCGAATCCAATTCTAGGTCCACCTGGATCCGATCTAGATCCAACCCGTTGCCACCTCAAATCTCTACCGGTCAATGGCGAGTATAAATAGGAAGGGGAAGCATAACATCCGGAAAAGATACTCAACAGGGTATTGGATATGGGTGGGGTTTTATGAGGTATCCACCCACCTTATATTGTATAACGAACACTCTCTAAATTGGGTTGGAAGATGTAATTCTACTGTCAGAAATCATATAATGGATTTAAAATACATGTTCTATCTGAATTATAAAATTTAAAATTTAAAAATAATGCATAATGAATGATTCTATAAATACTTGAAAATCTTAGATACAGACAGCCTGGATATCTTGTTACAAGATATATTTTTTTTAGAGTTCTAATTTTTTTTTTTTTTTTTTACATCTATGTATCTTGAGGTCAAGATGATCAATTATCCAAATTCAAAACATTATTTTCTACTAAATTTTTGAGATGCACCTTACTTCAATATAATAAAGTTGGAGCCTCATATAAATTTTTTCCATGAGAAATTTTCCCCTCAAGAAGACCACTTTATTCAAGAGTAAGTGTCCCCCTAAGTTGTATGTGGAAGGGCATAACACTCAAAGGGAGGGGTAGAAAGGTAAATTTTGTTGGAAAAAACAAAAAAAAAAAGCAAATTTCTTCTTATGAACGCCCAATCTTTTCCGTATAGGCCAGGGCAAAGACATATGATACCTGAACAAGTACGAGTGTCTAGTTTTGATATTTCAGAAAACATCAAGGCCATTTTAAAAACACTCATTGATAACGTGAAGTACCCAAAATGCTCCGTTATTTTTTATATAAAATCCGACCGTTGGCCAAGGACACATTTATAGTGGAAATGGAAGGTCCATTTTGTCATTTTTGATAAAGTCTAGGTTCCTCTTAGTCATATTTCATTCCCAATAAACCAAATCGTGAAGGGTATTTTCGTAATTAGGAGCTGGGATTTAAAAAAGGGTCACAAAATGCCTATATATACTGAGCGCTGAATCTCCAGTTCAGGGTAGAGAGAGAGAGAGAGAGGAAGAGCAGTTATAGGAGAGAGAGAGAGTAGTTATAGTTGGTTGCTGAAATGGGTTTCGGTTTCAACTCCATTTTCTCTCTCATCATCCTCTTATCCACCTCTGTTTCTCTCTCTACTGCTTATCTATCTCCTCTCTCTTCTAGGCACCATGGCTTCCATCACATTATTGCTAACCATAATTACAGAGATGCTCTCACAAAGTCCATTCTCTTCTTTGAAGGGCAGCGCTCAGGCAAGTTGCCACCCAACCAGAGGCTCTCATGGCGTAGGGACTCTGCTCTCTCTGACGGTGCTTCCATGCATGTAATCTCTGCAACCTCTTTGCTCTTCTCTTCTTTCTTCTCATGGGTTTCCTCATTCTCTCTATACTAGTTCTCTTTTTTCAAGTGGTTGACCTGTCCTGGTTTATGTATGTTTTGTTGAGTTCGGGTGATGTTTTGGGGAATGAAGGTTTTTGCATTAGTGGTTTTAGAAATGAAGTTCTCTCATGCATTTTTTCCGGGATGGTCAATGGTCTGCAAAATCAAGGTTGAACTCTCTAGGAATGTGGAGGGTTTATTTCATTCATAGTTGGAGGAATGCAGTTGTCTTTTTCTCTCTAGAAATGCATTGTTTTTTTTGGTCGTTTTTAATGGTTGGGAGAATGCAGGTTGATTTGGTGGGAGGATACTATGACGCTGGGGACAATGTGAAGTTTGGGTTGCCAATGGCTTTCACAGCCACAATGCTGTCATGGTCCATTTTGGAGTTCGGGGGTTTGATGCGTGGAGAGTTGCAGAATGCGAAAACCGCTCTTCGATGGGCCACCGATTATCTCCTCAAGGCCACTGCTCATCCAGGCACTATATATGTTCAGGTCTCTCCCTCCCTTAGCCCCTGTTTTCTCCCTCTGTTTTTCTTTCTCTTTTTTTGCTCTGTTTCTTACTCCACTTGCCCCTGTTTTTAGCCTTCTCTCCCCCCTTGCGTTTCAGTGGGAGAAAAGAGTGAAGCGTGTGGTTATGGTGATTTTTACAGGTGGGAGACCCAAACAAGGACCATGCTTGCTGGGAGAGGCCAGAAGACATGGACACACCACGAACTGTTTACAAGATAGACGCCAATAACCCTGGCACCGAAGTCGCTGCTGAGACCGCCGCTGCCCTTGCTTCTGCCTCCCTTGTCTTCAGAAAGTCCGACCCTTCTTACTCTAAACTTCTCCGCAACAGAGCTATTGGGGTACACACACACACACTCTCTCTCTCTCTATCAATTTCAATTTGTGCAGTTTCTTGTTATTCTCCTCTCTCTATCAATTTGAGATTCTGAAAGTTTAAGTTTTTTGACTTGTTCTCAGGTCTTTGATTTTGGTGACAAGCACAGAGGCTCTTACAGCAATGTGCTCAAGCGGTCTGTGTGCCCCTTCTACTGCTCCTTTTCTGGGTATCAGGTAAATCTCTCTCTCTCTC